CAACTTTGAAGTCAAGTCAGATCCTCCTGAAGTGCCTGTATATCGCCTTGGTTGCGTATCTCTCTCCAAAGTTTCACGTCGTCGGCAAAAAGTAATAAGTCTGACGTTACCTGTTGAGGAAGATCATTTATGTAGATCAAGAAGAGAAGAGGCTCTAGAACTGAGCCCTGAGAGACCCCACTAGGAAGTTCCATAGCCTGAGATAAAATGAACCTAACGCTTACCTTCAAATGTCGATTTTTCAGATATGAAATGAACCAATCAATTAGAGGTGGTCTGATACCCAATCGTTTGAGCTTATTGATAAGATATATATGGTTAACCTTAACAAAAGCTTTTGAGAAATCAAGGTAAGTGATATCAACCTTCCCCTTACGTTCGATGATGCTTGTCCATCCGTCCACCGCAGTCAGCAGGTTGGTTATACAGGGGTAACCCTTCCTGAAACCATTCTGTCGGGGCGAGAAGAAATTTAAGGACAGTGAACAGTCATGCATACCATCGCATATCCAGGACTCCATGATTTTTGAAGGTATAGAGAGAAGAGCCACCGGTCTATAACTTGAAGGTTCGCTGCGTCGACCTCCTTTGAAAATTGGTTTGATGTGAGCCAGTTCTCAATTTTCCGGTATTTCGCCTCGACTTAGCGAGTGCTAGAACATCATGGTAAGCGTCCTTGCCAGGATTGAGTCTGCTTCCTTCAGTACAGCAGAATAAACCATATCTGGACCCGGAGAAATGCTTTTCTTAGGTTCTGCAGTTTCCAGAACACCAAGTCAGCGCTTAGGTTCACTTCGGAAAGTTCTGTGGAATTGCGAACGAAACTGTCATCAGTAAAGTTGATGTCGGTCGGTTGAAATGTCTGGGAGTAATGTTCAGCCAGAAGGTTAGCGGCGTCGCCATCGTTGTTGGTCGGGCTGTCAAGACCTACCAGTTGGGAAACTCCAGTCTTGGCTTGACGAAGAGAGGCTGCATAACGGAATAAGCTTTTAGGATTAGAGGCAAATTTGTCCATAAGCTTTGTCTGGTACTGAAGCCTATCTTCTCTTATAGCCTTCGTGCATATGTTCCTGATATGTTTATATTGCCTGTACGCTCCGTCGTTGTCAGTTCGTTCATATTCCGCCCAACAGTGCCTTTGGCGGCTTAGCAGGCGAAGGGTACGGTTCTCGATTGTTGTAGGTGGCTTGCAGCTTTTGGGAACCGTTTGAGGAACTGAATGGTTTGTAGCACGTAAGAGCGTGTGCAGTAAGAAGTCCCAATGACCGTCCACGTCGAGTGGAGGGTGAACATCCCAAACCACCTGTTGTAGATAGTCATGTAGAGCTGGCACATTCAACCGTTTAAAATTCCAACGCAAGTTATTGGCGGGGTATTTTAGCTTAGTTTTGCTGAAAAAACTGAAGGCTATGACGGCATGATCGCTTTTTCCCAGGGGAGCCAGGATTGAGAGGTTGTCAACTAGAAATTCTTCGTTTGTGAATACACAGTCTAAGCGCGATGGTGTCTGACTGTTTCTCCAACGAGTTGCCGACCTCACATTTTCGAACAATCCCAAGTCATCGATGAGGTTGAAGAACCGAGCTTCAATTGAGTTGTCGCCTCCAGTATACGTGTGTTCCGCGAAGTTGACTCTAGGGAGATTAAAGTCCCCTAGAATCAGGATGTGTGTGAAACCGAGACGAGTAGAGCGGGATAGTCCTTCCAGCATACGACTATCGTACTCGATGTCGGCAGTTGGCTTCCTGTAAATGACTCCGACTAGACACCTCGAAGTACTTGACAATCTTACAGAGCACCTTATAGATTCCTCAAGATTGTTAAACTCGAGGTTATGAACTTGATGCACCTCCAAGCAAGAACGTATGTAAACAGCTACTCCGCCCCCAAATCCTGATTTTCTGTCGTTGCGGAACAAAGACATCCCAGGTAATGCTAACTCGTGGTCCGAGAACTGAGAAGATATCCAGGTTTCAGATATTCCTATCAGATGGGCCTTATTAGCGTTGCTAAGTTCACGTAGTTCATCCAATTTGTTTGGTAGACTCGCGGCGTTCATATACAAGCAGTTTATGCTTTCAATTTGAAACGCGTGAGCTTCTTCCTGTTTGTCTGTATGAGCCTTACGTGAATGGACAGGTAGCCCACCTATATGAGGTTTGCCGAGGTGGTAGGCCCTGTCCTTTACACGTTTTTTTATCGTCTAGACAGTTCAAGGGTGGAATGATCAGCTCCAACTTGCCTTTGTGTTTGGTCCTAGCTTCGTATGGCCTATCCGGGTGCATGTGGATTCCAGGTGGCAGTCGACGTCTGTTGGCACGAAATGCTTCCAGAGTTGCAGCCGCCATGGGAAGGTGGGAAGGTTATCTTCATTAGACGGGTCTAGAATCACCATCCTTCTTGGCTAGTCTCGTCACATGCTGAGTCAGTATGTTTTTGAGCCTCAAGGACTGTTTGATGAATTTCCATTCCCTGATGTCAGTGTTTGATTGAGTAGGGTCCGTATTTTCTGGTATACCTTGCACGATTATGTTCCTCCCGCGGAAAAACTGATCGCGAGTTTCTTTGGGGATATTCCGGATGAGGTTGAGCTTAGAATACGGTATGTCGGGCAGTATTCTTACATTCCAATCTGATTTCAGTAAATGACTCGCTAGTAAGACATCCTCTACGTCGGTAGCATTATTAAGTGTCACATGAAGTAGCTTCGGGTGATTTTGATGCTTAGATTCAATTCCCCGAGTGAGCCGTGTGACTGTCCAAGTTCCTTGTTCAATTCTCCCCAGAGCATCCTATCATTTTTGTCCTGCAAATTGAGAGGAAGGTCAGGGTTGTCTTTGAAGTTCATGACTATGAGAGAGTCATCACGAACCGTTATTGTCGTCCCAGGTTTTCCGGTGCGTTCAGGTTAAGCACCTTGTTGTTTGAGTCGGAACACGTTTATGAATCATTGGCTCTTTGATGACCGGACGGACAATCTTGGGGGTAGACTGTGCGACCAGATCACCAGTTGACTTCCGTTCAACAGCTGGGATGTTCAAATCAGACTGTGACGCCTGGCCCTTTTTAGCTCTTTTGACATGGGTCCAATCACCTACAGATTTTTTGGGAACCACTGTCGCGTTCAAGGACCTTGAGCTGTGAGACCCAAGTTTGCTGATGGAGTCGAGTACTATCGTCGTAATCATGGTGCTAAGCTTCAGCGTGTCGTCGTTAATTCTGTTGTATGCTCCGTCGTTTGTAGACCTGTCGGCATTCCTGTTCTCGTTTTCAATGCGCTCTCCTGTTTGTCTACCCATTTTTTGACTGTCTTTTCCCAAGTTTGCAAACAACTAACTCTGCAGACCTGTCAGTAGGACAATAATATTACTCAGCAAGACTGCAGTATCCGTGCAGCATCTAACACATTCCCACTTATGATCCGACTTGCTGAGTCTGCTGTGGGCAGTTGCTGTGAGATCTGTAGCGCTTCGTGGAACCAACCTTTGCAGTTCTCACACTGCATGCCAGATGTAGCAGCAAAACGGCATCCAGGTCGTTTGCATAAATTTTTCATGACTATTGACGTAAACTGTGTTGCAGATGCTAGTAAAAGCCTAACACCATAAAAAATACACTTGAAAAAAACAGTGAAAACGGACAAAAATGGATAAAGCGGATGACATAAACTGAACTACACTTTATACGTAAAAGTGAAAAAAACAGAATAATAAGCTGAGGCAAAACCACAGTTAACTATTAAATTGGGTGGAACTCAAAAAAGCAATCTACCAAACGTTCAGCTCACGATAGATCCTTCTAGACAGAAATGGTACTTTTGTTGCGTAAGAACACAGCAAAAGTTTGATAAATGCAAATCACTTTAGGACTAAACTTCCCGTTCTAAAAATGCGCGTAGTAAATTTGCGCAATCAAATGGCTGATTAACTTCTCTTGAACTCAAGAAATTGTAACCGTATCGTAACACTACGACAAAAAACTAAAGAATTCAATATGTTTACTCCTGGTTATCACAAAGATATTGAAAGTTGACCGAATTTTGAAATGAAGGTTGTAGATTGTGTTCTCAAGGTCGCCTTGTGTGCTTTGTTATTTATCTGAAAGTCTTTAAGCCAAAATATCAGTGTACGTTAGCACTCTGGATTCTTTTGAGTTATAAGATCATATCTAAAAGGAAAATATTACAAATTGAGCTACCCTGATATGATTATTTAATCCCATTGGTGTTTCCACATAAGTTTTCCCTAATAATTGTTGTCTTTAATCGCGAATCACAGCTCACAGCTAGTTAAATTGTTCGCTCGAAATTCTCATATTCGTGGTGGATGGCGTTGGAGTTTGATTTTGGTTGAATATAGGTTCTGCAAGTTGCCTTGGATACTAGATGAGTAATGTATTTTGTGAGATTATAATGTACTCAGCTTATTTTATTGTAAGGTCCACGCGGCTATTCTACCGGGGTTAGTGGTGTTTCTGGTGCAAGGCTTAAGTTGCATTACGTTGTCTGTCTTTTTACTATTGTATGAAAAACCGTGTGTTATAAAGACACAATCAGACCCATTTTCGAATTAAATCACATAAAGTTTGTGGCAATTATCGAAAAATAAATATTTTTCCAGCGGCGTTTAAAATATTGGCAAAAGGCGTATCGGATCTCTCTTTATTTCACTGATCCGTTGATCATCTCTAGATGCTTTTTGTGATGTTGCTATCATTAATCGCTACATTTTTAACTGTCTATTCTTGAGACGTTTAGTAAGATATGATGAAGGTACCTAACCGCGTATCTTCATCAGTGGAGACCGTCAGTCACTTTTGCCTTCTACGATGTTCTGGAAACATTTCTCAGTAAAACATCTAGTGGTTGCATGTATGTTACCTTAAAAAAATATTTCCATCTTGGATAAATAATCTCTCAATATATGATTACATGGAAGTTACCTAAGTTGTGTGTTGTCGGTTAAAGATTAGTGTATTTTAGAATAACATTCACCGCGCACCTCTGAATTCCGAATTATTTTCATATTGCTGAGCAGGTATGCGATTAGCTTGGACAGTTGGCATTTTGAATATAATTTAGAAATTCATGCATCTGTGTAGTTGTATGAATGTTGTGATAGACAAAATCAACTTCAGACTAGCGGCTTATATCAATATAGGTTACCCTTGATTACATGGTGATACTTATTTCACCACAGAATGTTGGGTTTGTGGTGCTATCATAAAATCAATCTTTTTCGACGTTTGAAAAATTTATTCTTTTCATGCTAGTAAATTTTCGCCAAACCTCTTAGGTCGTCGTTCCCATGAAAGATCTATATTCACTGAAAACGCCTTCTAATTCATATTAAAATTAATCGACCGCTTTTGCATAACTTAGATTCTCTTTGAATCAGTGGTCCCTTTAAATATCAAATTCGGCTGTTTAGATATGTGTAACAAATGTCGTTCAAGCGAATTTTAAATTAAACATTGCCTTGTGACCAAGACTGGATCAAAGGATAATATAGTTTATGATGTAACTATGCTGTTTGAAAATCATATGTTTGGTTAGCATCTGTTAGTACACCACATCTCATATGGGTTCCTGGAGGTCTTGCTACGTAATTTCCCTTACCCACTTATCTTCGTTCTGTTGATGTATGTATTTGCATCGATTTTGTATGTTTTCAACAGTGAAATGCTTCACTTCACGTTCTCGAAAAATAATTCATATTGGGTTATTCGAATTTTTTGAGACTACGCTTTTCGATAGTATGAGAAGGTGGAGATGGCTATATTTTCCACTTCGTTAATCAAAACTTAAGTACTGTTAAAGAAGACAACCACGATACATACAACTTTTGAGCACGCAGCAAACTTGACTGAAATGTCATCGGGAGTATTTTTAGCATGATATTCATCTTGAATAGTATATCCTAGTACAGATATTTGTCTTAAGCAAGTTCATTCCACCTATTTAACGGAAGTCTGATTTACATGATAGAAAATCGATGTTCAGAAGTGCATTCAACCACCAATAGGCGGTCAGTTAAGATTATAATTTGAAAAATCATACTCATCATTTTACAAAAAAGATAAGAACCGTTGAACTTTCCAAGTAAATCTTCATATCTATCAATCAACTTTTATTTTACCGGAGTTACCATCTTCACACTATTGACTTCTGTCACAAACGTACTGTGAATGAAATCTTGATGGCTTAGAATGTCCATCTTTTGTAAAGATATGAGGATATTTTGATGACCTCAATGAACTGTTCTCATCTTGTTCAAGTTTTAAAGACTACCACTTTAACGATGCATAGTAATTCTAATTAAACTTAATAGTTTAGTATTGAACGAATACATGACAATATCTGATCAATAAGAATAAAATTTCATTTAGTATTCCGAAAATTAATAAGCATTTATATTAACAAATTAATTACACTGAAAATCTAATTGATTTCACACATATCCATATACAGATGTAAAACGTTTACTATAATTTAAAAATTACATAGTTTCACTAATGAAGTGGTCATTTAGTAATTAAATGGAAGAAAGAAATATTAATCAGAGAGTAATTCTATTCTCTGACACTTATTTATTAATCACTAACGTTGATTTGTTGTTCATGTCCTAACAACACACATTTATTTCTATCAGGGTTTTACTCTCTTAAATTATTAAGTTTAATATTATTGTATCAATGAGTCAGCCTATTTATTTTTGTGAATTATTCATTTATTTAGTGCAGTTCTGAACATAAGCGTGTTATTTGTTGTTGCTTTAATTTTAGCTGTCTAAATACTATTTAGCGATTGTGAATTTATACAGAGTATTTAAATTATGACATTTAATTAGTGTACTTTCAAGCACCAGCTGGTCAACTAGCGTGATTTATGGAATCAACGAATAATTCTATAAAACCATGTCATCATTTTTATACTGGAACTTGACTGCGACCATAGAATCATTTAGCTATTGAATTAAAACATGGAAACTTCGTCAAACGAAAGTGTATAATATTAAGGGTAAAATGAATCTGAATGAAGTTCTTAAACCATTTTCACTTTGATATGACTAAGCTAATTTAATAATAATCATGTCTGTAAGATATAATTAGAATGAGCTTGTTCAACGTATCAGAATATTCACCATTCTGTACTTTTTTAAGTTGGTAGTTTTGGCGACTAGTGATTGTCAGCTTCAACAACATCTAAATTTTCCTATCGTAATAATTTTTACTTGTTCAGAAAGGTTTTTGATTAACTTGTTTGGCACGGAGTTGTGTTTTTACGATTGCAATATTCTATTAAAAATTTCTCAGAAAGTGGAGATTTCTTCTAAAAGAATAGATATGGCCAATTAACAAGTAATCGGCAACTGCATATAAATCCAATGTTTCCCTAACGTTAGATTTCAGTTGGCTAATATCAAATATAGTGTAACACAATGTCTTGTGACTTAATTTATTGATCAGGTACAAAGTATTTATCTTATTGTATTTCATTTAGAACTAAAAAGTAGAAAGTGATAATGCATTGATATAAGAACGTACTAAAATTCATAACTTATTAATAGTAGACATTAGTTTGTGAGAAATGCCTCTAAACAATTCACTTAGGCTACATAAAAGTGACCTAAAACTGATTGATGACATATTTACACTCGTATCTTTTAAAAATTTTATTGTTAAACACCACGGATACTAAGATATGTAAAATCATCGACCATAAAATATGTCAGCATTTGCCTATGGTGGTAATATGATTTGAGTATACAGACAGGTTAGTAGATATTTCTCATTAGCAGCTTTGTTTCAGTCGATAACATATAGCATGTTTAAATATAATACTAGTAAAAAACTTTACCAATAACGAAATCCTGTATTCCCTATCAGCGTCCGTCCATGCGGATCTAACTTCGATCTTCCTTCTAATAGAGTTTCTAGTCCTCTGTTCTTTTTACAGACATTTTAATTAAGCTATCAATTAAAGGGATAGACAAAGTTGCCTAGCTGTGTGGCATTTTTGCAACATTTTTTTCATGTATCTCCATATTTAGTCGCCCAAACGTACTTAGGGTTTCAGTTCCTTATACTGATGTAATAGTCAATTAAAGGCTTTACTACTGTGCAGCTATTACATTTCCTGTCTCACGACACGTTCAGTTACTTTTCCTCTGTATCCTAATGTTTCTAATCTATGTTTAGATAAATAATGTCTGGCGAAAACAGTCATATAATTAGTGAGAGCTATGTAAGGAGTGAACCGTCGGTTTCTACTTGCCTACCGGATAGGAAGACTTCAGTGAGTTGAGATGAATTCTATTCAGAAGTTTTATTTAATAACTTTTTTATGTTATAACGGAATGAATATTGTAGAGGTCGAAATTGTCCTTTCAAATTATCGTTATTCATAGTTTTACATAATTACTGGGTAGCTAGATTACTATATATGATTTCTTTTCGTTAAACCCATTAAATATTTTTATACGACTTTGCCAACCTAATTTATTGCTAGCCTATTATTTAGTTTCCCCTAATCATAGCCACTCTCTGCTTGTTTATGTGTAATTGTTGTTTTCCATTTTATGATGTTGCATTCTGGTACATCTATATAAATTATGTCTGTTGAAAATGCTAATGCAGTAGAGGTGGGTTGCTACTTCCGAACTCGAGGATAGTGGTAGAGGAGAGCTAGCTAATGTTAGAGTAATAGGAACCTGACTCCTGGCTCACTGTCAGTAGTGCTGGTCAGACGTGTAATAAGTCAGAGACACTAAGTTGTAGAATAGATAGCAGATCAACTTAGAATCAGGACCCTAATTGGTAACTGCGCACGCGATATTGACCGGTGGTCACAGGATAACAATTTACCTCATGTAAACTACCAAGATGAATAATCTCTGTGTGGTTGCATATCAAAACAAGCTAAGAATCCTGACAGTCGTCATCAAGTCCACTATAAAATTTACGAACTAGTACCTTTACGAAATCAAACCTAGAACCTTCAGGTTATTCAACGACCCTGCTACTAATTAACCACTGAATTAAAATATGTTCTTCACTTTTGAATTATAGATTGTTCATAACACCTCGAATATTTTTTAGCATCACTGGCTTAAACTTACCTAAGCTCTTCAAGTTTTGTTAAAAATTAAATTTACATGCACAAGGTAGTATTGACTGTATCCATCCTTCCTATAATAAACTCAGTTCCACGTCTAAACGAGTGTAAATAATGTAACTAAGTAACTTCCTGTCTAAGGTTTCTCCACGTTTGAGACATAACTGAATCTTCAAAGTGGGACTATCATTATTTAATTTTGTCTGACACAAGAAATTCGTACACTACATATCGGTATTATAATAGCTTACAATACGACCATTTTAGGGTCCGGGTTATAATCATGATCGGTGGTTGGAGACGTTAATCGAGTCACTTACATGATCGCAGATCTATTCACACTTTTCTTACTCCAAGCCTTGAGCCTCAATACTATTTCATGCGTTTTATTCCTCCAATACATATTTTTTTTGCACCATTTTCTCCAATATGCAGACCCTCTCACTTTTTGATTAACACCACTATTATTTGGATTTTTTTATTTGATCCTTTTCATTTCGTGTCGGTGTGTGATTTAGTGTAGAAAAGTAAGCTAAAGTGAATTATTTTCTGGCTCCGCTGACTATGATTGACTTACTGCTATTCTATATTATCCCATTTGCACTGCAACTTGACAGAGCGATGTTTACGCACATTTACATACTAAGGTTGCCTCAGATAAAAGATGTCATTGATTCATCGATCTTATCCAACTAGACAGCCTTTAAATACACGAGCTAATTAGCTACTAAAGAGATTTGCTTACCTAAAAACTTCTTTTTCCAAACTTTAGGATGATTGCATACTTCCATTCAGTATTTCTGTAGTAAATATTGATGATTAATGGAGCTTATCTACAATAAAAAATTTCCAAGACGGGATCTAATTGTGAGCTTAATTAGCAATGAATAGTAATTTCGAGGGTGTGCGAAAGTTATATGTTTCACAATTTTTCAGAAATAATACAGAT